AGCAGCTCTGACAGGAGAGGGAAAATGGCACTGTCTTGGGCTGTTGACATCACAGCCTGCCCTGCTCTGTTCGGACACTGCTTCACACCAGCCTGAGCCTGTTAATTTAATAAATGAAAGTATCCTTTGCTTCCCCAGTTTGGCAAAGGTAGGATTTGGGGTGAAGGAGATCTCTTTGCTTACTCTGTGTGCTTTGCCAGTATCTCCCAACTCCCTGAAATGTCAAGAGAAAGATCAACAGAGGGAAACGTAATCTCAAAGTGAAACACGATATTTTTTTAAAATGTCCTCACAGCGGCAATCATAATAAAAATACAAACCTGAGGTTTGTAAAAGTCTAGCAATAAAACCACAGACGTCTTTACAACTCCCAGATAGACAGTGCTCCCCTGCAGCAAGCACAAAAACCCTCCCAGGTGCAAGGAGCAAAACTATAACTGGGGAACAAGCCTAATTTTTTTACAGCCTGCAAAAAAAAGGCCGCACATGACACCAATTCACAGGTCATTACCAGTCACCGTCAGGGAAGATAAAACAAAATCCCTTCATTTTTTCTCACCTAGAGACCACGGAGCAGCTGAGCTGTATGGAGGTGGAATGCTACACTTACAGGCAAGTGCATGTTTTAGGTTCATAAAGCAAGCTCAAATCTTTGTGCTGTTTTCTGGTCTTTAAAGCTCTTTTCTTTGCAAGCCAGATCATAGGCATCTGTACTTCCCTAGCTAACAGTAAGCCTGTTCTGTTCCATGGGAGCAGAGATCATCTCTCTTAAAATGTGAGGCAAGCCCTCAGGCAATGCAACGTCACTCAGCTTCCCAGTGTGCTCTGGCAGGTTGGTTAATATTTCCATGCCTTGAATCTCTCATCGGCAAAAGGATTCCTATATTTCTCCCACTCTTTGTCCAACAAGGTTTAAAGCTCTGCATGTGGGCGCTGCTTATTATGAGGAGGCAATGGGGACTGCGGCATCTGTTTGCAGATGATGCTCTCGTGGTCATGTGCAAGGTGGTCAGACTCACCTGAGTGTTGAGCAGGATTAGAAAGCACAGAGCATGGGTAGTGGAGGACTTTCTGGACCCTCTGCAATCGTTTAGCCTAGTACTTTCTTACGTGCTTGACTTTACTCTGAGGTACAGCCGGGATTTTGAACTGCCCACCAGTTTGCCTGTATTGCTGGGGCAGGCAGGCATTGGCTTGCTGAGACGGTGGTACTGAGTCAGCTATTGACAACTGCGGTGACTTGTCTTTTCCTCCATCTGTCATAGAAATGAACCCATGTGGTAGCAACGATGGGAAATTACTCAGAGAAAAAGAAAAAAAAAATCAGTGTAGGCCAGGCTAAGAAGTCCAGAGTAAGCACAGCCTCAGCCTAGTACTGTACAACTGTCAAGTCACATTGCAGTAGATTTCTTGATGCTGACAATTTAAAGATTCTTTGGCCCAAGGGTACATCTCCCCCTGTGAATCTGCTTCTCCAAAGCCACTTTATCACTGACCTGAAAGGAAGCAATCATGGCTTGCGTGTGAATGTGTGTGACGAGAGCTAATGCACCGTAATAGCTACAGCGCATCTAGCCGGTCTGACCAAAGGGACAAGGTTCTGCATGCCTGTTGTGCTCCCTGAACGCAGAGGTCACTGGCCTTTTCCCTGATGATCTCTGATAGAATACAGTAGGCAGAGCCTGGGCATACACACATAAAGCTGTCAGTGATTACAGGTATACTTACACTAGATTTTTATTTTACTTTTTTTGTAAAAGCCTTAAAAACTAAAAGAAAATGCAGGTGTCACAGGTCTTCTTTTGCACTTGAAAAAATGTTTGTTCTTCTCCTCTTATTTCTAGGCTATTCACAACTTGTCCGTTGTCTTTTGTGGACTGATTGTCTAAGTTTAGCTGCCTAGTTCAAGAGTTTTTTGAAAGCTGTTCTGGGCTTTAATCACACTGTTTCCGATTGTAATGGGAACCCTTACTCCTCAGGTTCCTGGGAAAGGCCCGAGGTAGAATTGAACGGTGGGAACTGCTTTTGCCCTTGTTCTGTGCAATCACAGAATTCTGGCTAACATCCACCTCATGAATTAATGCTGAAAAATAATGGATTTTCTAAGAGTCTGGTTGGTAAAGGGAGCTAAGGGAGCTGACTCAGGGGCTGATGCCTTCTCCCAGCCAGCAATTGTAGCAATGTTTTACAGTCGGGGAGTAGGTCAATTCACTTGCACATTTAATGGATAAGGGCAGCTTGCACTAAATGAGCTTTCTGGGCAATCTATGATATCAGGGATGCAAAATCCTTCTGGCTGCCTGCTGCTGCGGGGAGCTGCCTGCATGCACTTCCAGAGCAAGGCCTGGCAGATCTGTTTGCAAATGATGCTCTCGTGTACTAAAAACCAACACGCAGATGCATGTGCAGATCAAGGCAGCCCACTCCCACCTTCTGATCCTCCAGCCCTGTGTGTCAGCCCGGATTAGGCTTCTCCTGGATCCTGACCCGCTGTCTCCAGCTCTGCTCCTCAATAGATGCCTGAGCTTCGGTTTCTGTCCTTGTCATCAGATGTTCTGCAGCAGGAGGCTTCCTCTTGCACCAGGAACCCCACTGGCCTGAGAGTTGTGCAAACAAAGGAAAAACAATAACTAAAAACACTCTCTGCCTGAAGGAGCTGACAGCATCTCCCTTATTTCTCCCAGCTTCTGTAAATAAATCCTTGGTAATGTCACTGTTTTTCAGAGGACGATAAAAGGAACTGTCGTCGCTCCCTGACACGGACTGTTCCGGCCATTCACTAGGCTTTCCCCTCCCTCTCCCACGCAGAGAGAATTTTGTTAAAAATTAGATCTCATCTGATGACTGCTAATTATCTTAGAGGCTGTTGGTAAGCTGCAGCGAAGGGACCAAAGACAGCGCTTAAGAACAGCCCTGCGGGAGGAACGCTGGCTTGGCCGGTGTCACTGAGCAGAATTAGGCCTTGGGTATTTTAACTGATGCTTCTTCAATAGGATGTTTGATGGCAGAGGCACGAAGTAAGAATTAGTATAGAAGTCTCTATATGCACACACACGTAAATTTGGTTCTGATTTTTTAAATCTTCTCTTTTGGAACCGGTGGGGGTCACATCACCCTTCAGATTTTAACGTTTTGGTTGAATTTCACCCTGGCTCTTGTTCCCAACTCCATGCCAAGCTCTGGGAAAGACACTGCCCGACACCCTTCCTCTTGTCCTGCCCCCAGCGCGCTGCTGTCGAGAGCAGAGGATTCGTGTGACAACCTGCAGGGAGAGGCAGCCGCTCCAGCACCGTCTCCTTCCCCACGGGGTGAACGTGAAGCTAATCCCAGATTCTCATCTCAGCTGCACTGATCTAATTAATAGTAACTCTTTTGGCTTTATAGGGTGGAGGGTATCTGGATTTAGATCTGCATTACCGGAAACAACACCTGGCCAGCTGTGCATGTTGCTATTACAGATGAACGGCAAAGAGAAACAACGTCCCTGTGCAGTGACACAGGAGAGGTGATGACCCTTCTCTGCTTCTAGCTCTGCAGCCTGCTGCTGTCTCCTGTCCCAGTAATCTGTGCCCTTTAAAAAACAAAGCAAGCAAAAGAAAATAAGGAGAGAGAAGCACCTTAAAAGCAAAGAGCCAGCAAGAGTGGGAAGATGCACTGCCTGTCAAGTCATGAAAAATCTCTGTCCCTGCTCCTAGCAGAGCCTGGAGAGCAAACCCAAGACCACAGAAAGCATGGGGTAGGCGGCAGATCATCTGAGGCGGACACAGGATGGGGTCAGCCATGCCCCAGCCTCTCCCTAATATCTTCCTGCACTCATCTCCCATTAACTAATTAGCGTGGGCTTTTCAAAGTATGCATGGTGACTCCACCAAGTACACACCAATTTCCACTCAGCCTTTTACCTAGTCCCTCCCTCTGTCCCAGACAGCACGGAAGGGAGGAGAAGAGCCCAGAGCTGGTGCTGGCAGGCAGGTGCTGCTGCTGCCGCTGCCAGCACGGCTGGGAACCCTCCTTCCTCCACTGTCTGCCCAGGCTTTGCAGCCATTTGATTCATTTCTACATATAAACATAGGAGATGTTTTGTGCAAGCAGCCTGGCACCACTCCAACGCAGCCAGGACAGCCCGCGGAGGGCACGCACAGCGACGTGGCGGGGGATCAGAGCGATATTTCAGCTGGTCCGGAGGCAGACTGGCCAACCTGCGACTCCCCGCTTAGCAACAAGGTCCTGGCAATCCGTACAGATGATTGCATCCCGCCAAATCCGGGCAAATCCACCCGCGCAAGGAGTTCTCTGCTCTGCAGAGCTTGGCCATATGGCTGAGGAATAAGCCATGAAGGGACGGAGGTCTCTGAACTGAAGTCCAGGACTCAGAGGTCCTCAGATCTGGAGTCCACTTGCTGGATTTTCTGCCTGATCCTGTCAAATCACGGGAGTCAAGAAATCTGGCTTTTATCTCAGTTTCCCTGTGCATTTTCTGCCTATCTCTGGTGTGGTTGCTTGGAGCCGGTCTTTGAAAGGACGCCTGCAGTTTTCACAGAGTTGTAACTGCAGGAAGCACTGATGGTTACAGCGGAGGTACAACCCACAGGCAGCACAGGGCCTTGAGGACGGCTGCACAGCATATCACAGCTTTTTGTCAGCTCTGATTTTGGCGGAGCATAAACAGCCCGACATTCTCACTTCGATGGATTGGGGATTTGAATTTCTGGGGAAAACCCCCTTGGCCATTTCCAAAGCTCAGGAGTCGTGACCGGGGCCAGAGCTTCTCCTCCAGCCCAACTGTGCACAGAGGAGTCGCTGAGCTATAAT